CCAATTATATACCACAAATGTAAAATTGGACCCAAAGTATTATGGGTGCTCTTAGGCCTCGGCCTCTTTCATTGTACCGTAAAAAAAAAGTGAATTGCCAATGTTAGCGAGTTGTATGGATAGAAACTTTCCCATTTGCTTGTATATATTTATTTGAGAAAATTACTCCACGCACTAACTAGTTCATAAAATATTACACATCTACAAAAAAAATATTTTATTTGCAAATGGGCATTTGCTAGCCAAACTATTTGTAAAGATACGATTTATACACAACATTATTTCTTTTCACATTTTTCTTCCCACCTACCACAATTAATTCTCTCCATCTTCTCTTCTTCTCATCTTTTTCTTTCCCCATAATCATGAATCTCTATTTCTTCTAAAAAATTTTCCCTCTTTCCTAATTTCTCCTTGTTCGTCTTTAATTTATCCCTCAAGAAGACAACAATTGGTGGACGTTGTTTGTGACCGGTGGAGAGCAGCGAGTGGCTGCAACTCCGGGCATCAACCATGGCGGCGGCGGATTGCCCTTGCGCGGGGCGCCCAGTCCTCGAACGGGGAATTGTTCAATCGATGAGAAGTGAAGCAATTCCTTGATTGAGTTCTGAAGATGAACGATAAGATCTGCCCAAGGCTGTTGGATTTTTTCTTTTTTCTTTTTCCTTTTGTTTGCAACCTCCCAACGCTCATTTGGTTGACTTCTGTTTTTTTTTTTTGTCATTTCTTTTTATGTATATATTGCGTATATCTTCTGTATATTTTCGGTATATAATGACTAGATTACTTTATCTTACGTGTATATCTTATGTATATAATGACTATATCTTCTGTATATAATTCCAAAAAAAAAATGATGGCTAGATTGTTTTATATTCAATATATTTTTTGTATATAATGCGTTTTAGTTCTCCTTTTATTTAATGATACGGGCAAAAACACAATGAAGATCCTCTCTTTTTTGAATTACCGTAGAACTTTTTTTTTTTTATTTTAATTCAAGATATGATTTTACATGCAACTGAAGAGATAGTGTGTAGTGAAAGGAGATCTTTGATTTATTTTGTTCTAAATATCTCCGTAACTGATGGGAAAGGGGAATTATACCATTATTAAGCGACCATATAATTAGATAGTAAATCCTTATTAAGATGCATAGTTTGGTTAAAATGCAAATACTTTCACAATAACATAAATATGCTAATATTTATCTCACGGAACAACAAACCTGTAAATTCGCCTTTCTTAAAACCAAAGTTTATCTTACGTCAAAGTGCAGATCAAAATAACAAAAAGAAAATTATGCAAATTAGCCAAATGACTGACCGATAAGAAGATAACAACCACTAAATAGTAATCAATTAAATTTCTATTGAAGGGAAAAAAATGGGGAAATTCTATTGGAAGGCCGAACTTTTAATATATGTATTAATATAAGCCCTGAATTTTATACTTTTTCAACTGAAAGCTTACATTTTTTATTATTCTCACTTTAAGGCTTACTTTTTAGTTTTTTTTTTTTTTTTGGTACAGGGACCTTCCGATTTCCAGATCCACAGGGGAACCGACTATTCCGGAATCGAGTCAGGTAGGACCACAAGGGCGGCAAAGTTCTCCCTCAAGAGTTTTAACACTGCTGCATTCCCAGGGCTCGAACACGAGACCACTGGTTAAGCTGGAAGAGACCCAACCCATCTCATCCAAGTGCTC